CCTTCTTACAGCTAGAACCCAATCTATATTTTTATAGATCAACCAAAGTATGAGCGACTACAACATCGCTGTTGGATTAGATAACGTTCTGACACCAATATGGACCTTCTGGAATGCGATGTTTCTAGCAGGTAGTCAATTTTCAGTATTATTTTCAATTTCTGATACCGCTGTGAATGTGGCTAGGGATGTCAAAATGTTTAGGAAACAGTATTTTCAATCTGGAACCTTGTTGTCTGTGAACGCGCATCCCAGGCTTGTCGCAGCCAAGCCCACCATTGCGAATTTTCGTGACGCGCTCTGCCTCTTGAAGGTAAACTGTGCACTCACCTCCTATCCCAGTTCTTGCCTTGTTCTTGTGTGAGGTGAATGGGTACGTAGCTGCAGTAGCGTGAAGTACCTCCTTGTTCTTGTGTGAGGTGAATGGGTACGTAGCTGCAGTAGCGCTTGTTCTTGTGTGAGGCTGAATGGGTACGTAGCTGCAGTAGCGTGAAGTACCTATCTCCGATCAAAAGTGCACGGGAATGGGCTGGAGGGTATTGACCCCTGGCACTACACCAACCCGTTCCCGTGCACTTTTGAGCGAAGAAACGGGCACGCTACTACAGTTGATGGACCCACTAACCTCGCACACGGAAAGGACTGCCTTTGGAGGCGAGCGCACAGCTTGCCATCGACTGTTAGAGAAGAGGGGTGCATCGGCGAGAAAGGCAAAATGGTAAGTCCGAAGTCTGCCCATACGAAGGGATTGGACTGCGCTTTTACCACACCGAAGCCTGTGAGGTAGGTTGAAGCCTCAAGCCTCCAGCGTGAATCTGGTTTGGCTTATAGGAGTGCTTTGCATGAATAGAGTCAATCCTTTGCGTGCGATTGGACCTATCCAGTCCCGGCACTTCTACCCAGCCGGAAAGGTGGGGCTGACACGCACCTAGTGCCTGATGGGTAGGACAAAAGGCACTATTCAGACGCTATTCCATGGATGCGTGTCAGGAGCTCCAAGACGCAAAGATATGCGGAAACTAGATCGGTGGGCTTAACGTTTCCCAGCTAGTTTCCCCAGCTTATTGGAATAATTCGTGCCGAATACGTCAGGTCCTGGTTCGAATGCAGTGCACGCGACAACCTTTGCGAGGCCATTTCGCCCTACCGTCGCAACTCGGATTTCCTAACCAGCAGCCGCTATTTTGATAGCAGGAGATTAGCTACGACTAGGTGACCAACAGTATGATATCAAAAGCCGATATTTAGGGGCATGAGGGTTACGAAATGCATGATCTATACAAAGTGGTGCCCTCATATTTATGCTAGACTCCCCGTGAATGAATGAACCATTGAATTTTATCGAAATAATTTTTTTCACTGCGACTTGGCCTTTATCACACAAATTACATCAATTATTACTTACTGACGAATTTTATACATATCTTGTACGCCACATTTACTCTGTCTTACATGTTTACCCCCTCCAAAACATTGCATTTTTCAGTGACAACTTACACCACGATCGGTTACGGTAACATCACCGCGAAAACAAAACTCGGCAAGCTGGCCGCCATGGTACGGTGATTTGTGGTGATCGATATATTGATTAGTTGAAATTCAGTTGATATAACATCAGGTATACGCTGTGATTGGCATTCCTTTGGTATTAATGATTCTGCACAAATTGGGACGATTTTTCCTGCTCGCTCTTGAACATGTCTGGGATTTTGTGAGTGAGGTATACAGTTCTTGAATCCGAGTCATTTAATTATTTTATTTACCTTTTACTATAATGCGCCAGCGGAACAGGGACCGCTTTTACTCAGGCCGAATCAACAAGGCCTGGTATTGGTTCGGCTTAAACTCCTATAGATGGCATTTAAGGAAGTTAGGGTGTCCATAGGAGGCATCGGCATAGGCCAACCGGAACCAGTCAATCCGAACCCAAGGCTATTATTGATTAACTAAAAAAAACAGCAGTAACAGAATTGAGACTTTAGAATATTGAAGAAAGGCACTGAGATAAGATGAAGCATGGGAATCAACCACAAGACAAAAAGATAGGTCAAAGGTACCGACTATTTCAAGGCGATCTCTGAAAAGAATCTTTGAAAGGGCTCATTCACAAGCAAAATGCCTCTTTCTGCACTCTTTAAAGCCTCCCTATAAAGATATTTTGAAAAGTAGCGAGTCGGGGAGTTCCTCATACTGTTCCTCTTGTTATAACCTCCATTACTCGTACAGCCTCGGGCGCGACAAGACAAATCAAGCAAACCAGAAAAAACGAATTTCAACTCAAAAGGCAATGGCACGATAATTTGGGTAGCATTGTCCAAAAAATGCGGCAGGGTGCTATACATAAGGAAATGGCGAAGACTGAAGGGAAACCTTCTAGCAGGGTACAGCATCGTGTGTGAAACACAGGGGGGCGTAGCAATTTCGCGCTCGGGAGGGAACTGTTCGCTATTCGGTGGTTGTTGGAGGGGGGGGTCGTATGTGGCTTTAAGAGGAAATTGCCGCGTTGGGAACATTTTTTCCGGTTGTTGACTTTTCGCGTGATTTTTCTTGTTTCATATATTATACCCCCCCCTCTCCTGCTCGACAGCAAAATTTTTGGGGAAAAGTGGAAAAATTTTTGAGAAATTCTGGAAAAAGTGGTAGAAAGTTGGGGAAAATGTAAGAAATATTCCCGTTTTACATGTGCTATCAACCCCTCGCTCGACGGAAAATTCTTCTGTGAAAAATCGGAAAATATGGGAAATTGGTAGGTAGGTGTTGGAGAAGGGCGGGGGAGGTCGTATCTACAGTACCACTTCACACATCACGATGCTGTACCGTGACCGACGGACAGCCTTCGCTCTTGATGACTCAAAAAATAATTTCGGACGAGTTTCCCATAGGCATCTTGCCAATAACCGCTACGGTAGGTACGGCTGCACTTATGTACTCATATATCCATGCAGCACCGCAACCGCTTCATCTGCTCATACGCTCGTCGGACAGAATCTCAGCCTTTCGTCCCTTTTGCGGGTTCATTAGTTGTTCTGCTCTCCCTAGACACCTTTTTGAAAGCAAGCAAGGCACGGAAAGATGCCTTTTGACACTGCCTGAAATCAGCACTGATGCTATCGCGTTGATGCAAAGCTCGTCGTGCACTGCTTAGTCCTAATTTATGCACAAGATTTTCGAGAATCATTTTCTGTCCCATTGTTTCTGCTTTTCCTTCTGTTTTTCTGATATTGGACGGAATTTGGTAGTGGAAGATACGAGGCAAGGATCTGTGAGCCAGGGGTTGCAGAGAGGCCACATGTGTCGATTTGTCAGAAAGTCCGGAAAACTTGCAAAATGAGGCTGTGAGACTGTCAGGAAGAGGTTTTGCTCAGGATATTCCTAAAGTTTTTTCTGCTTTCCTTTCTATGGGGGAGTCATCTATCGGCTGCTGTCATCATAACTGAACACCCACTACCCGTATTACTTCAGAACGGGAAATTTCCTCATTATTAGT